TTCCTGCTGCTTTCCGTCCCCCCTGCTGGGTTATAACCTCACAGTTAAGGTGCTTTATTTATTTTTATCTTTTGTTTTAATTAAAACAAAATAAATCGACTCTCATTCGATTCACCGAGATGCATTCTGGAAGAGGGACACAAGATTCCCCGGAAAACCTCATCACCTCCTGGCGCTAAATGACCCAGGAGTGAGTTTGTGACATATTATTAATATATATAAATAGAATATATTAATAATATATTAAATATTTAAACATTTAAAATTCAAGCCTCTGCACCGAGGGGGGGCGGGAGGAAGCGCATACCAGTTCCGCCCAGTCCCACCTGAAGATGCTTTTCTCCCACCACTCATCATTTTTATTCTGAAAAAATTAAAATGAGCGTTAAGGGCAGGGGGTTACGGCGCCACGGGGGTGCGTGGGGTGACGCCAGCCCCTCCCCGGGAGCTTTAGGCGCCTTTTTCGCCGCTTTTAAGAACAAACTCCGGAAGAAAAGAGGTTTCGGTGGGTGGCGGAACGGGGAGAGGCAAGAGAAAAAACAAAAAAACAAAAAAAAAAAAAAAGAAAAAGGTTGGTCTAATGCCGGAGTGCGTTGAATGAACATATTTCAGCTCTTTCTCACATCAGTCTCCACCACGAGCCACGTGATGGTGAGAGGAGATAAAAAAAAAAAACCACCGCCGAATCAATTCTGGTTTTATTCCCCTCCCAGCTGAATAAAATGAGAGTTAAAGGAGGTAAAAGTCGCTTTTTTCTCCCGTTTTCACAAGAAAGCGGCGCTCGCCATCCTTCCCCTGCTCCGAGGGGAGCGGTGAAGCAGCGGGTATGGAGACGGCGAGCGCGTCCTGTCTTCTTGCAGGTTTATTTGTGGGTGGATCTGGGGGGTGGGCTCGACCTCGATCCTTTAAACATCACATTTCCCCCTTCCCCGGCCACATAAAGCCGAGCTCCTTTGTGGGAGGAACCGTACCTCTAACTCGAGGGAGTTTTCTCCCCTCTTCCCCCCCGTAAGGGGGAAGAACGTGAGTGCAGAAATACTTCAGAGCCAGCACTGCTCTAAAAATCAGGAAAACCCACCTCGTTTTATTGAAAAAAAGAATTAAAAAAAAAAAAAAAGAGATCCTGCTGTTTGGGTTTTTTTCCCCCCCTTCTGCCTGGGGTAGAGCGTAGAGAGAGCATCCTTGTGCACGGTCCCTGTCCCTCCCCACCGCCAGGAATTCCTCCTCCCCACCGCCAGGAATTCCTCCTCCCCACCGCCAGGAATTCCTCCTCCCCATGAGAAAGGAAGAGCAGCCCGAGGCACCAAAAATACCCCTCAAAACCCTCCAGGTCTCAGTTTTTAAGTTCACCATCTATTTTCTGCCCCCACACAGGTGGAGGAAGAGGAAGAGAGCAGCGCCCGCGTTGGCTCCGCAACGAGGAACCGGCCAAATTTCTCACCGAGGGGTGAATTCTCACCCCCAAAACCTCACTCACCGCTCGAGACCATCCAGCTGACGCAGTAACGGGGGAAGACGGTCTGCGGGTTGTCGCTGTAGGTCAGCAAGTAGTCAAAACCGTTCTGGGGAAGGAGGAGGAGGAGAAGGCGAGTGAGCCCGAGCCGGCAGAGAAACTCTGTTGGGCTTCGCAGCCTCACCTAAATTCCCTTTAAGGGCCGCCGGGACCCTTCAAGGTGAACACTCTTCGGGATGGAAGCGTCACGGAGGTGACACAGAGCCGTAAAGACCCACTGAAAGCACAGAGGGAGGAGTTTTTTGGGGAGGTGGTGGCATTCCCCGCGTCCTCTGCTGACTCAGCACGCTCTCTTCAGGCTCCGGATGCCCTGCGAAGACCCCGGGATGCTTTTTTTAAGAGCGTGACGTGCTGGGAATGAGACTTGGGGGGCTTAAGGCCTTTTTTAAAAGGATCCTGGTGCTCCGAAGTGGCGGGTTTGGCTCTCCGGGAGCACCACGCTCCTGCGGGAAGAGGCTCAAGCTGCCTGGATAGAGCTTTAAATCCTTCCAGAGCCGCAGGGGAATGGGTTTCCCCTCGCTTTCGGGAAAATAATTCATCCCTCTTTTGCGACTCCGGACTATTGACCGCAGTTTAGCGTTACGGATGATGGTCAGAGAAGGGAGTTTCCCCTCGGAGCAGGAGGAAGCTCTCTTGCGACACACTTTCCGCTCCGTTTCCCAGCTCACCCCCAAAACGTACCTCGTCAAAGGTTTTGTGGGGACGGATGACCATTTGGGATTCATAAGTTCTGACCCGAACGTACTCGGGGTCTTCAGGGACACTGGGATGCTCCACTGCCCTGGAGGGAACAAGAGGGAACAGCACGAGATGAGCTGCGGGTGCGGACGACACTCAACATCCGCCGATATTTGGGAGGTGGGGACTAAAAGAACAACGCTTTCACCCCAGAGAAGGCGGTTTTATTGTCGAGAGAGATCCCTGAGGTTTTTACCACGGCTTAAAACCGCACAAAAGCAGCTCAGGAAATTTATAGCCAGCTCTCGACTTCGTTTGACGGACGGGAGACGGCAGAAAGCCGTCGGGAGGTCGGTGCGGCGACACCTACCGTGAGACGAGTACCATCAGGTTGTTCTCTTTGTCTACGCTGTACCGTCGAACGTATACGTAGTCTCGCGAGTACATGGGGTACTGGGGAAGGGAAAAAGGAGAGGCATCAACCCCGCTGGCCGCTTGCCTGGGGTAAGGAGGAGCACCGGAGCAGGAAAGAAGGAGCCGCTCACCGGGAAATGAGTGACCCAGTGAATCACTTCCGAGCCAGTGGCAAGGTCTCTCTCGATTACGTCCAGTTTGATGACCAGTGAGTCCCATTTCTTCCTATATTCAGTGTCCAGCTGGAAAAAAAAAAAAAAAAAAAAAACACAAGAAAAAGAAAAAGAGAGGCTGAGTCACAACAAATTCCAAGAGCGTTGTTAAAGGAAGGTAACCGGCCTTTTTCCTCGGCCTGTGGAAACAAGCTGCGTCACGGTCAGGCGTTTTACCGCCCCAGGAAATTATTTAATACTCTTTTGAAAGTCATCAGAAGAGGAAACGCAGGAGCTGGCAGGGCAGAGAGCGAGCTGGGACCAGAAACCCGCTGAGCTCCTGCAGCCAACGCGTGTCCACCCTTTATTTCCAGCAGCAAAACCCGACGGGGGCGTGGGATAACTCGCCCTGCTTCTGATCCGTACTGGGATCCACTCTAGATCACGTAAACAGTACGAAGAGAAGGGAATATTCACCGTTTCTCCGTCCCACCCCGCTGGCAGAAGCTGTACTTTTATTTCTAACACACCCCACAGCCCCGATACCAAAATGCGCTCACCTGTACGTTGAAGAACTGTCGGGGAGTCACGTCTGTGTACGACCCAAACACTGCAGTAAAGAGAAAATATTTTAATCCCGGGCATGAGCCGCTCTTTACCTCAGTGCGGCAAAACTCAAAGGGAAAAGGCATTTTCCGAGGGAGGCGGCAGAGCCGGGAGCCCTCCCAAGGACTAAGGGGGAACGGGATCTGCAAAGAGGGCAGCAAAGGACAATTCCCGTGGGGTTTTTCCGCCCTCCCCGCCCCAGTTTCCTATAAATACAAGCCAGGCGGGATACAGGAGGCACCCTGTTCCTCCCAAAAAAGGACTCGGCGCAGGAAAAACAACCCCCAGGCGGGGTACGGGGAGCACCGTTACCTCGGTACTGATATAAGTGGGTGCCCTCGATGGGCCGCCGCCAGAGCTTAAAGTGCTTCTTGTCCATGATCATCTCCCAGGGCTGTTCCCCGGCAGCGGCCACGGCCTCTCGTTCCGATTTGGGATCCGGCCGTTGATACTCGCTCAAGCTGCTGCCCTGGAACAGGCTGGAGATGTTCTCCATGTGCTTCATCTCCTGCGCTGACCTAAAGGGAAGACAAAAAAAAAACGACCCGGTTCATAACCAGAGCCTCGTCGGAGCCTTTCTGCGACAGAGGGAGCCGGCAAAACCTTCCCCGCACGGTCCAGGCTTCATCTAGAGGGGTTTTGGGGTGGGAAAAGCAGCCCGGGCTCTCCCCTCCTGCCCGGGCATGGAAAAATCCATCCCTGCAGCCTTTTTGTTTCATCCTAAGGGTCCGGTGCTTTATTATATTTGTGCTTATATTATACAGCATTGGAAAAATCACGACGCGGCGCATTCAGGGGGGGTTCTCCCCCCCCCCTCTCCCTCTTCGAGGGTGGAAGCCTAGTCTGGCATCGAACGCAGGTGCCGGGGAGTTTTTAAGCCAGGCGGCACCAGAAAATGTCAGCTGCGGGGCTCGCTCTTCAAGAAGAGGAAGGAGAAAACAAACAAACAAAAAAAAAACCAAAAAACCAAACCCTGCAGGATGGTAACAGCGGCGTTGCGTTGGCTGTTTCTCAGGGGAAGCGTGCAGGGGCTTATTCCTCATCCGGCTGGGAAGCGCTTCTCCCCCGCCCCGGTGAGACCCGGCAGACAAACCGCCTCCATCCTCGGCAAATATCAAACTTCCCACCCCAGAAAAAATAAAATATAACCCACAGAGGTCACCGTTGGACGGTGGCAAACCAAGATTTGTTTTCCTGCCTGAATGGAAAAGAAGGAGGAGGAAAGAAAGAGGAATTCAGGAGGAGGAGGAGGAGGAGGAGGAGGAAAGAAAGAGAAATTCAGGAGGAGGAGGAGGAAAGAGAAATTCAGAAAGGAAAAGAAGGATTTTTGGGGATTGAAGGCACCCGGGGATGGAGTTGTTCGCAGGACTGAGACTTGGTTGCAACAGGAAGAGAGGGGGGAAGGAGAAGGGGTCCCGTTTGAGGGGGTGGGTTGGCTCGCCAGAGCCCGGCTCGCTCTGCAAAGCCACAAGAAGCCGATGGCCGGCGGCAGGCACC